TCTCACTGCCGGGGGCCTCTGGCTGGGCAGGGAGATGAGGGGACGGTGCTGGGCCTTGGCTTCCTCGGCCGCTTGCAGCCCCTCTGCCTGCCACCGGTACTGGCGAGCCCGCAGGATGCTGGGCACCTCCCGCTGCAGCCGCTGGGAGCTCTTCTTCTGCCACACGTCATATTTGGAGTACTTGGCGTGTGAGGGCTTCTGGAAGCTCTCCTGCAAAGGGACAGGATAGCAACGTCAGCCTTGCTGCAAGCCTGCCTGCCCTCCGGGTAGGGGTCCCCCTCTCTGAGCTCCATCCATCCCATGGAAACATTGCCCCATCCCTGGAAAGATTCAAGGTCAGGTTGGATGGGGCTCTGAGCAACCTGATCTAGTTGAAGATGTCCCTGCTCATTGCAGGGGGGTTGGACTAGATGACCTTTAGAGGTCCTTTCCAACCCAGACTATTCTATGATTCTGCGATCCAGCCCACCTCTGGTCCTCCAATTTATTAAAAGCTGACTTTCTGCAGGGTATTTGGCATGAATTGCCAATGGTTGCCAGTTCTTAAAGGCTCTGCAGAAGCAGCAGACCTTGCAGCTGGGATTTGTCCTCTCCCACCCATGGCCTTCTCATCTTTTCTCTTGCTATTTATTTCGGAGAAGGGCTGCCATCCTGGCACAGCCCCCCTACCTTGTTGAGTGCCGGCAGGCCCACCAGGGAGGTGGCGGAGAGGTCACGCTCGGACTTGACGGACTTGGCACAGTAGGTTTCCAGCAGAGCCAGGTCGCAGCTCCGAAAGCAGCACTCCTCCACGATCCCCCGGTTGATCCGCCGGTTATTTCGTCCCACTGGTCTGCCTGCAATGGCAGAGACCCTGGCGTTAGCCGCCAACCTGGACTGAACCTTCTTGCCCCCTCCACGGCACCCATCCCCTTGTAAGCATCCCTGCACCAGCCACCGGAGACCGGTGTGTCCCACACACTTCAAAAATAGCAGCGCTTCTCCCAGATCAGCCAACACGCACCCGCAAACTGGCCAAGTTTCACATTAAGACTTTCCCAGACAAATGCTGTTGATGCCAACAGGGCTCCCTGCATGCGTGCGGTGCTAATTAAAGGCGCTTTATATGGCGGTGATTTATTCCCCTTCTATACCTCTGGCGCAGGCGGCCTTTTTGGGTGCAGCTAAAGCGAGGAAGCTCAAGCCCAGCCCAGCCGCCAGCACTGCGACCGTCTCCGATGTTGATCCTGGCAAGCGAGTTTTATTAGAAAGAAGCAGCGCGGCGTTGTGGCTGCCAACCTCCCTCCAACGGGTCGACGCTCAGGCAGGTGAAACGAACCAAGGCGGCTAAATTTTACCAGATGGGACAGCTCTGAGACAGCTGCAGAAAGAATACAGGCTCCCGCACCCGCCAAGAATAGCTATTAAACTTAATCTTTTAATAAGGGTTCCTCTCCCGTTTCTGCCTGCAGAAGGATGCGAAAGCCCGTGTCCGGTGCAGCAACAACTGAGTGCATTTCATGTCACCACTTAATGACAGCCAAAACTCTCCAAAGGAAAAGCTTACATCAGTTTTACTGGTTTTCCTCCCCCTCTCGAAATAAGAGATGGGCAAATTTGAATTTCTGATGCAAAACAAATTTGCTTGGGAATTGCAACTTCCAAAATGTAAACTGGCCCAAAACAATAGGATTTTCTTCGGGCCTTCGCACATGGCGTGTTATGCACTTGTGCTGTTGTGGGGTTTGCAACAGGAGCTCTGCACGCTGCCACAAGCACCTCTTCCCAGCACAAGGTGCTCCAAGGGAGGGGAACAGAGGCCGGCACCAGCAGGGCTTGCAAACACAGTCTGGTACCACATCCCGGATGGGAGAATTTGGGCATGGGAAAAACTGAGAGCGAGCAGTGGAGGCGTGATGCCACTGTGCCACACTCAGCCAAGACCCTGCCTCCCAGCAGGCCTGCAGGAACGCACAAAATGGTCCACGTTGGCCCCATGCACAACCCACGATCCCCCCACATGCTCTGGATGAAGCAACTGCTCAAGTATTTGGCCTTGGTGAAGATTTAAGGGCCCCGGTTTGCAAGGTGCTGACCAATTTCCCCGGGGGGTAACCCATCTGGGTGCCCACCCAAAGTGCCTCAGGACAAAGTGCAAAGCACAGGAGTTTTCTGTGCATGCAGTGCACATGTGAAAAGCAGCCCCATATGTGCAATGCAAACATGCATGTGCAATGCAGCCCTGTGTGTTCAATGCAGCCCTGCATGTGCCATGCAGACATGCATGTGCAACGCAGACCTGCATGTTCAACACAGCCCTGCATGCACAATGCTGGCATGCAAAACCCCGTGACCGTATCTCGCTGTGGGCTCTGCAATAGCGAAGCCGGGCAGGGCACCTGCTCTCTGTTAGAATCAGCCGTGCCCCCATCGGCGGGGAGCCCGCTGCTCCATGCTGGTGCATTGCCGCCACACTCGAAGGTTGTGAGAGCAAACATGGCATCAGGGCGCAGGGTGGTAGGGCAGCTGACTCATACCATGCAGCCTGCCTTCAGAAGTCATTTCAAATGCTCTATTTCCACACTCGTCCCCCCTGCACCACCACCCTTTTTCTTTTTCTTTTTCTCTGGAAAAATTTCAGGCACGACTTTTAGCCAGCCCTGCAGGAAGGTGAGAAGGATGGTTCCCTCTTGTAAAGGCTCAGTGAAGGGAGCACTGTTAGGAGTTTAATTGTCTCTCTGTAAATGCTTGTGGTCAACAAGCAAGCTGGATTGGGCCCTCCCTTTAAAGGCAGGGCAGGTGTGTTGGGTGCCCTCAGACATACAAGCGATGCCGGTGCAGGCAATCCAAGTGGCAATGCCCAAGGGAGACAGCGGAGAGGAGCCAGCTTGGGGCCAGGTGCATGTATTCCTCTATATGCACGCAATGCCCAGCGAGGTCCATGGGAGACCTGCGCTGCCATCGACATCCCGCACCGCATATGGCCCCCGCTCAGCACCTATTGACCCCAGCGCCCAAACCTGCGTGTGCGGCAGGTTGCTGAAGCATTAGGCTGCTCCAGAAAGGCATTCTGAGCACAGGCAGAAGGAGAGTTTGGAAGGAAAAGAGAAAAAATTAAAGGCACCCCCTCTTGCTAGCACATCCCCAGAGGGCTGCATTCACACTCCCGCTGAACAGAAGGTTGCACAAGTGATGACACGCACGGTTCGGGGAGAAGTTGAGGTTTTGAAAGGTTACATGTCTCCTCTCGAAAACAGAAGTTGCCTACTTGCAGCTATGTGTTTGCTGGAAAGAAGAAGGGGGGAAAAAACCAACAAGCAAAGCAGGACCATTTTCACCGCCTTGCCATCAAGGGCACTTTCTGTCATGGGAGCGCGCAGGAAGATCACGGCAGCACGTGTTTGCAAACACCCAGGTGTGGCACCACCAGAGTGAGCTCCCCGCAGGGATCACCACAGCAGCACGGCCCCTTCCTCCCATTTGCTGCCCCTGCCCAGCCTGCGGACACACGTGTGGCCCCTGGCCCCAATGCGCTGCCCCTTCTCTCTTGCATAAAGCTGCTGCGTGCCGTTCCCCTTGCTGGTGCCACTGCCAGCTCCACTGCGACGGTCCGATAGGGCACATTTCCCATTACATAATTGTCCGTACGGATCTCGCCAAATGCCAATACAATCCTCTGTAGGAGAGTTACTTTAGGAAAAAAAATAGGCAAACATAACAAACAGGGATTTAGTCCCAGAAAGTACCTGGAGACAACAACCCAGGGAAGAGATGCCAGGACATTGCTGGTTAACAGTAATATCACTGCTGACCTGGACTGGAAAAAGTGTTTGTTCCATACCACGATTTACGCATGGACTAAAGGTTGAATTTCCTGGCTTTTGCCCATGGATGGCATCTTGCTTTACCGCCACTGCCAAACCCAGGGAGGGTTTTGCCTCTCTGTCCCTGTCCTCCCAGGGGAGAGCTGTGTGGGCAGTGGGCTGTGGCACTGCCGGGGCGGCACGAGCCACTTCCCATTGCAGCGATGACCGCCTCCTCCTGAGGAAATGTGCTTCCTCTCGGCCTTCCATGAATGGCTATGCTCTCTTTTTCCCCAAATTGTGCTCCACCAAAACCTCCCAGAGCTCTGTTGAGAGGCTGAGCCCCACAATGCAAAGCCCAGTGATGCAAAGCCCGGCGGTGCAAAGCCCAGTGGTGCAAAGCCTTCCGGCTGCCTGGGGTTACTCCAGTCCAGCAGCAGGCTATCCTGACAGGGAGAGCTGGGCATCCCAGCAGCAGTGCAAAGCCAAACCTGCTCCTGGAAGAACCCGGAGGCCGCATACCTGCAGCTCAGCTATGCCTCTGTGCCAGAGGTGGTGGCACCACCATGGCCACGGGGGGACAGGAGGGTCCCCACCTTGGCATCGCCACCCTGCTGCTCTGGGCTCCCCACCCTCACCAGGGCCGGACAGATGCCACGGGGAGGGGTGTGCGGTGGTGCCACCCTGGCCGGGTCCCCTCTCCTCCGGTCAATCAGGCGGCAAGCCGAGTGGAAGGGGACTTTGGGTGTAAACAGTCCCTGCGCCCCTGTCACAGGAATGTCGGGAGCAACAAGGGGGCCTTTGTGCGGCACCAGGCCCCGTCCCAGTGCCCCCGGCCTGGCCCTCCCCCACCCCGGCACCGCACTTTCCCCCCTGCTTTTTCCTAGTATTATTCGGAGGAGCGGCGGGGGCGCAAGAATGTGCCCCGTCAGCACAAGCGGCTGCAAAGAGCTAAATTCTTATCAGCTGTTGGAAAGGAGGAAACAGGAGCTGTTGTTTACAGAGAAGTCGGACGCCTCTACCCCTGCAGCCCCTTCTCCCCTCCCTGCCAGCATTGCATGACAGCAACTTTGCGGCCGGGGCTTCCTCTCGACCTGCTCCGCTTTTTTCACTTGGGGCTGTGCTCAGCATCCCTCCATGGGCTGCACCACCGTCCCCAGGGTGGGTGCCAGGGAGCAGGGAGAGGGGGTCCTGGCCCTGCTGCAGTGCCACGGTGGGATGACACCACCTTGCCAGCACCTGCGGGCCAGCCCCAAAAGCCTTAAAAGTCACGGAGGGGAGGAATCATGGCAGAGGCAGAGAGCAAAGCATGCACAGCTCCAGCTGCAGCTTGCCCAGGCACCCCCAGAATGCAGCGCGGGGCTGGTGTGGTGCACATCCATCGTGCCCGCCCTGCATACCGTGGCTGGGTAACCCCAGCGCTGCCAGCTCCTGCCCGTGTTGGTGCAGCTCTTCTGCAGCCCCAGCTCTTGGAGGCAGCTTCAACATCCTCAGCCCCAAGCACCTGCCAGCCACGATGCCTCCAAGAGCACCTGGGGGCTGGGACTCCCTTCCCACGCCAGCAGACAGATGGGCATCCCGGTTATCAGGGGGTGCACCCTGCTCAGTCTAGGTTGCATAGTTCCCTGTTGCCAGATGCCGGGGGGGGCGTGAAACACCGTCGGTATGCTGCATCCCCTTGCATGGATGCAAACAGCGCTGTATTTCAGAGCTAGCTTTGCTAGATAAGTGCTGCCTTGTAAGAATGCAGAGCATCATTTAAGTACTTAAGTCACCACTGCAGCAGAAAACCAATAACAGATTTTCATACCATTTTTATTTTTTCTGAGATTACCAGTCGAATGCTTGCAACAAGCCCCGTCCAGCAAGCGGGGCTCACCTGTACCTGCAGGACAAGGCTGCCCAAGTCATTTACCTCCCGTATGAATGACTGCATTAGCACAGGCTGCTCATCAGGTCACACATCCCATGCTGAGAAGTGCTCATGACAAACCCAGGCCCAGTTTTAAGATGTAAACACGCGATCGTGTGACATAACCATGCCCTATCAAGCCTATATGGTGACAACAGTGTAGCCATGAGGGTTTAGGAGTGAAGATGAATATGGTCAGGAGAATTAATCATTTTATGAGGCCAACTGATGGAGATAAAGGGAAAAAATGAGGCGAGCTGAGGATGTCCAAACCCTTCATCAAGTAGAGCCATCGCCCAAACGTCTTCAGCCCTGCACGGCACAGGCTGGTCAGATGCTGAAGGGGTTAAAATACAGGACTGGGGGGACTTTGCTTCATCCCCCAGCACCTGGGCTCTCCAGAAATACTCAAAAAGAAGAAGGTGGGACGGGAGAGGACAAAAAAAAAAAGCAAGAATCCCCTTGCAAGCACCAGACTGGCCACTTGGCATCAAGCAACTTGTCTGCCTTCAAAAGTGTTTTTATTTTGGCCTGGACAGCTGGGTTATTTGAGGTCAGTTTGTCCGTAAAACAAAAGCCCCATTCCCTTTCATCCCCAGAGAGGGGGAGGAGAGAAGAGAAACCACAGGAGAGAGACGGATGCTCCTCTATATATAGAGGGAGAGGAAGAGGTGTGAGAGTGGGAGAGGAGTTTGCCTCCTTGCCGCGCCGGTAAGGCCAGCCCCGGACCCACTGCCTTGGCCGAGCTCTAGTGCGGGGCTCGTTGGTGGAGGAAAGGTGGAAGGGGGAGATGAGAAGAGGAAGGGCAGCTGACGTGCAAACCCTCGCCGCTCAGCTCGGTGAGAGGAAGGAAGCGCGCCCAGGGTGTCCCCAAAAGCGCTGCCTGCCCGCAACACCCAGGGGGCCATGAAAACATCCCGCTGTTCAGCTGGGACGGGGCAGGGCAACCACCCCCCCGGCAGCTGCAAAGTCACCTGCAGCCCAACCGCCTGCCCAAAATTACACAGCCCAAACCCTGACTGCTGCTGGATGTGGGATCCCTGCACCTCTCCCTGCCCAACCTCAGCAGGCAGCATCAGCCAAGTCTGGCTGAGCACCCAGGATGGGAAGGGACATCCAGGGCGCTGCTCCTAACTTTGCAGCGCCCCGTTCCCTGCACAGGCAGACTGGGAGGAGAGGGAGGCTGGCTCTCGACTCCACTACTCCAAACAACACCCTGTTACTTGAAAGCAACTTTTTAATTCCTTTTCCCAAGGCAGAGGCAAGACTGCCAAATGCATGGCACCGTGTGCAGCTAGTATCTCCATCCTCTTCCCCACCGTTTGGCTTTGCATCTTTCCCACAGTCAGTCACTCTGTGGTTCAGTCCTCAGTGGGCAACAAGACACAGGATCTTCCCTCTCCCAAGCAGAGCAGGGGACTGAAACACCGGAACAAGGCATGACACTCAAGGCACCTCCACCCACAGATTGCTGAGCATCCATCGCTACTGGTTTACTCCTCCTCCCCGTTTACCAGCTAAGCTGTTGTACTGCTAATGCCAATGGTCCAAACCCCCAAAGCATCCTGGTGGAAAGCCCCCTCCAGCCAACTGTCCTGAAGCCACCTGCACTCTGCGGACAACAACAACGCTGCATTTTTTTGGCACTAGCTGCACTGCAAAAGGGTAAGACATCACTATTCAGTGACAGGTTCACCAGCAGGTAGCCAGGAGGCCACAAAGCGTATTTTGGGAGCAGCCTAGAAGCTGCTGCTATATGCACGCAAAGCCTGCCCAGAAAGAGGGAGTACTCAGCTCCCTGCCTGCTCCCAGGATGCAGCAATTAGACAGCAAGGTTTAAAAATAAGCCAGCGCCCAAGCTCAGCAGAGAGCTGGCTGCAGACATCCTCGTTACTTTAATGACTTGCCCGTATCGCTGGTGAGCCAACCACCTATGGCTCCCCAGTGATATTTGACTTTCCCAAGCATCAAATGCAGGACACGGTTTCCCCATGGACAGTCCCCAAAACCGGCACGAGGTGGGTGCATGTCACCTTGAGCACGTCACTTTTCTTGCTCCTCTCCTGGTCTACTGCCATGTACAACGCAAACATGAAAAGCACCGGGCTGGGAAACCCCTCCTTTCCCTCCCAGTCCAGCTCCACCAAAGCAAGGCACAGGGTGGGGGCAGCATCCTGCCCGCTGCTGGGAGCTGCCTGGCACTTACTGAAGTAGAAGCCCCTGTCCCCACAGACAAACTGCAGCGTGTCCACCAGCTCCCCACCACAGAGGGTCTCCGCCGTGCCGTACGCCGCAGCTGAATCCAGTGCGTAGGCCAGGAAAGCCAGCAGCAGCAGCAGCATCCGCCTCACCGCACACATCCTCTGCACCTGGGGAAAGAGGCACAGTGTTAACACAGCGTGAGAGACCCCTCTCTGCCACCTGCCCCAGGCAATGCCCCCCTGCCCACAGCACTCCTGGGGTTTGATGCCTGGACATGTCGGGATGCTGCAGGGAAGGACTGACAGTGCTGAGCCGGCCGCTGGTGCGAGGCTGGCTCCCTGCGCTCGCCCGCTGGTCAGCCGCTCCGGCCAGACAAGGTTTGCATTGAAGCAGTTTTTCCATTGGAAAATCCCACTTCAGCCTACCTATGAAAGGCTTTTATTCCCCCTGCTCTTTCAACAGTGTGATCTTTTATTTTTTCTCTCTTTTACATGGGAAATCATTCAAATTGTTATCGGGAGGTATTTTTTTTTTTCAGTTCTGATGACAGGTTTTCATGTCCTACCTGAACACGTGTTCCCCCAAAGCAGAAACAAATGAAGTTTCAACCTGTCCTAGAGTTGCTTTTGAGGAAAGCTGGGTTTTGCCAGGGAGCGGCAGCCTTCGCCCCAGGTGTGCGAGAGACCTGCATGGCTGAGGCTCGGGCAATCGAGGGGCTGATTGCACAAGCCATATTTGCTGACGAGAGCCAGGACCTAGAAGACATCCCTCAGGAGCAGAGCGGTCCCACAAGAAATGCACCTGAGGCATTACCAAGGAGGGCCAAGGGGGTATGAGCCGGCACAGAGGATTAAAAAAGAAACTCTCTGGATATTTGCTAACTAACCCAAAGATTTCCCCTGACTCAGCTCCGGCAAACAGCTTTACCTCCATGTCAGCTTCTGCAGGTGTAAAGTGAGGGTGCTATTGCCTCACTGGATGAGGCAAAACCCATGGATGGTTCCAAGCATTATAGTCCCTCACTGACGAGCATCACTGTATATATACAGCTAAATAACGATGGTGGCCAGACAGGTCAGCTCAAAATGAAGAGGGGAAGTATGGCAAAATAGCAGTCGGCGTGGGGCAATGCTAAATCTCAAGCGGAGCATCCCCTCTCCCCGCTAATGCTCAGCCAAGACGCTGGGTTTCACATCCAGCCTTCATCACCATAGCATCTGAGCAACTCGAGAATAAAATCAGTTAATGAATATTACCTCACCCCCCCGGGATGCTCAGAGATGGAGCCGAAGCCCAGGATAGATTAAATGACTCACCCAAGGTCACAGGGGAAGTCTGCAGCACAGCCAGGAAATTAGCCCAGCTCCCCTGGGGCCCCGCTACAGTCCTGGCAGCAATAAAGCCACCCTTGCTACCAATTATTTACTATCACGTAGCTCAAATCATTGCTGCTAGAAATGTGCCATGCTTATAAGTCGCAAGCTCTTCTGAGCAGCAGGAGGACAGGGATCAGCAGCAAGAAAAGCCAAAACGGAGGCTGCAAGGTCTGGGTGGGCTGAGGTGGGCATCTCCCCCCATATGAGCTTCGATGCCCATCGTATTGCTCAGCCTGTGCTGGCAGAGACCAGCAAGGCTGGCAAAACCCCTCCAGGGCTCTGGAAAAGAGAGGCAGAAGCCCTGGGAACAAACTGGGCTCAAACCAGCAAGTGATGGGACCAGGACCAGTTTTTCCAGTAGCACCGGTCCCTTCGGCCCACCTGGGGAGCTTTGGTCTATATTACACTAGGAGCAGAGGGATGGCACCGGACTACGATTGCACCACGCTGCCAAGCTGCAGTGTTTTGCCACCAACATCTTTTCACCTTGATTTCTTTATCAAGTGGCCAACGGGTGTTTACTGGGCCTCCCCAACATGACCGCAGCATCACCTGCACTGCTTGAGTCACGCCCCTGGTATGGCAGCATCGGTAGCTGGATCTTCAACCAACAAGACAGCAATGATCCTGCTCCCTTTCCTTTTTTTTTTTTCCCTTTTTCCTCTTTTTTCACATGCAGCTCCCGATTGCTGGTGTCCCCGGGGCGCAGGTAGCGCCGGCAGCTCATTGCCGGGGCAGCAGAGGTGTGCCAGCTAGTGCCACTGCTTTTAAAGCCACTGACATGGGACTTCAGGGCACCCAAATAGTCCCCCGTCCCCAATTAGGCTCATGCTGGCTGCAAGCACTGAGGCTAACGAGTAGGCTGCGTGTTGGCCTGCCCCAAGCCAGAACCAGCCCCCGCAGAAGGGGCTTGCTTGGTGGCACGGGTGACAAGTTTTTCCTCCACAGTCAGTTCAAAGAAAGGGGTGAGATGCTCTGAAGCAAGGGGAGCGCGAGGTTTTGTCAGCAGGGCGATATCTGATGCTGGGGAGACCTGATACCTTCTGTGGAAAAACACTTGTGCTCCTCGGAAAATACCCGCTCCTGTGCAACCCGCACTGCAAGCCCAAGGCAGCCCCTGGCAGCCTTCCCTGCCTCCGCTGCGAGCTCTTTTAGGGTGCCCATGCACCCTGTAACTCTGACCAGGAAGCCACCCTGAAGCCATGAGGACAGGGACAGCCCCGACGCTGTCATCCAGAGCTCGGCTAACAAGGAGGTGTGCAATGCAACGAAGTCCCCCTTTGTCCACGCATCAACCGCCAGCCCTTTCCACCGCTGTCACCTTGGCATCTTCCCGCTCCCTCCAGCAGCCATGTAATGAGAAACCGGGCAGCAAAGCAAAAACCATCTTTATTTACTACCCGGTACTGCAGTTTCTCTCCAGCTTGATGGAGCCGCAACCCAATCCCATAAGCCCTTCCCTCTTGCTTTGGCCCTACTGGCCCTGTGGAGGAAAAGCCCCCTGGCTTCACCCAAAGGCTAGACAGGCTCCCAGGGTGCAGTCACCAGCTCAACGCACCCCAATGACCTTTCAATCGATCCTTCTCGCCTCCCACTCCTCCTTAGCAGGGATGAGCAGCACCCATGCAGGAGACCTTGCCCCTGCCCCGCCGCGGCTGCCGGAGCAGACGCTGCGCCCCAAAATGGGGTGGAATGGCACAGCTGGGTACCCGCAGCCCATGACCCGGCGCAAGCACCATGCCAGCTGCACAGGTTGCATGTGGCTTCAGTTGTCATGGCCAAATCCTGCTCAGCAGTG